AATGTGTATTAATTTTATTTTTGTTCCATTGTATTTTCTTACCAATAAAGAAATTAAAAATTGTCCTTATACCATAGTTTCAATAAAGCGCTATTCTATTCTATTCTATTCTATTCTATTCTATTCTATTCTATTCTATTCTATTCTATTCTATTTTCTATTCTATTCTATTCTATTTTCTATTCTATTCTATTCTATTCTATTCTATTCTATTCTATTCTATTCTATTCTATTCTATTCTATTCTCTATTCTATTCTATTCTATTCTATTCTATTCTATTCTATTCTATTCTATTCTATTCTATTCTATTCTATTCTCTATTCTATTCTATTCTATAGTGGATAGTGTGCAAAGTCAGTAAAGACCTTCCAGAAAGCCGAATGAAATGTATATGTCATGTAGTGTGTACGATGTTGATGAAAACCGTCCAAAGAACAGAGTGAACAGTAGAGTGCACAAATGTACAGTTTTGTTACCATTGATTTGTTAACATTGTTTTATTTATATTTCAGTCGTAACCCCCGGTTACACTATTTATATGGGTGCAGAGAAGCATGAAAGTATGTAATATTTTTGTATTAAGTTATTTGGAGATGATACTTTTATGGTTTTAGGTTATGTATTTGAAGTATGAATACATGTGAATTGTTGGATACATGTCTTTAATATTTAATGATTTTCAGCAACCAGAATTTGGCAATCAGTCCAACTTCTTGATTTTTTCTTCATATTACATTTGCTAATGTGGCATGTCTAGCTTTAGTTAGCTACACAAATTCATAACGATTTGAACATTCACTATTCACAAAACAATATTTAAACATGATGTAAATTATGCAATATTGTTTTGGGAAAGTTTACAAAAGTTGACTTACAGAATGGAATTCATATGTTCAGTCAACAATCAAATTTGCATACTGTAAATGCAATAATTCTTCACTGGTTTTTAATTTTACTATTTTCGCTGATAAATAAAATCTGCTAAATAATTCCACATAAACTTGTAAAATAACAAGTCATTGTTACTCTGCTATGTCCATGTGAACTTAAAACCCAGTGAAATTGCTCAAAACATTGAAATAGCGAAATTAAATGCCAGTAAAAATAAATTGTTTTTACAGTACATTCTTCTCATCTGTTGAAAAATACATCTGACTGGTATAATATTGTCGTAAATACATTCAATAATTTGTGCCAATATTTGACATGCATAAACAAATCTTTTATTTTTTTCTCCAGATGAAGAACTCTTAAGGTGGGGTTTTCCTGAGGATGTCTGGTAAGATGCAATTCAAAGAATTTGATTGAAATAACAAAAAACCTTTAAGTTTAGTTTTTGACTCCCATGTGCGAAGCACAAAATGGGAGTCTTTGCAGTTAGTGTGTCTGTATGTGTATGTGTGTGTGTGTGTATGTGTGTATGTGTGTCCGACTGTTCCACTGCTATCTCAAGAACCATACATCGGTTTTTGATGAAACTTGGGGCATAGATGCTCTGGGCCAATGCGCAGACTTGATTAGGTTTTGGTAAAAAATCCATGCTCGTTAATTA